GGCCGCGGGGAGAGGGACAGCCTCCTTATGTAATCTGCGCGCCACGCGAGTTCGGAGTTCGGTTTTCTGTCGGGGGGCCGTGGGCGGCAGGAAAGTGACGAGACAAGGAAAGGCGGACCCGGGAACTCACCTCCCCACCGGTTCCTAACGCTGTGTAACTTCGGTCTGGTTTCTCGTCTTTTCCGTATCTCCGAATTGTGAAAAAGCCGAGTCCGGAGCCACGAGGTGGAAGCCGGCAGTGCGCAAGCTCCCCACCAGACCGAGGGGGGCACGTTTAGGGATCTTACGGCGTGGGTGCCCCTGTCTGACCCTCCGCCCCCAGGCAGAGGGGGTGACCTTGGCTTTTAAAGAGCCTGTTTGGTTGGCGATATCCCATTGGCAAAAGGGAGAGAGAGAGGTAGGGGGTTGTCTTTGTATTTCCCCTATTTAACTGGATACCCAGGACACCCATGTACCCCATCTAAAGGGAATTGGTTGTCATTCTTGAAGTCTGTTCCCCAGCTCGAAGTTTCTGGGTTGTCAGCTCTGAATGACAGAATTTGGGTTTTCCAAAATGGGGCTAGTGGCATCTTTAAAAAGAAGTATGGTGGACAGATTGGGGAATTAGGGTGCGACTTGATGCTGCCCCAGGGTCAGCCCGCTCCTGGCAGGGGGCCTGGCACTCTATCGATCTGAGTCGTGCCAAGCCCAGCGTCTGGAGTCCAGGGCCCGCCTGAGCCTCCCCTTCCCCCCCGGCCCAGGTGAACTTCACAGTAGACCAGATCCGGGCCATCATGGACAAGAAGGCCAACATCCGGAACATGTCTGTCATTGCCCACGTGGACCATGGCAAGTCCACGCTGACAGACTCCCTGGTGTGTAAGGCTGGCATCATCGCCTCTGCTCGGGCTGGGGAAACCCGCTTCACCGACACCCGGAAGGACGAGCAGGAGCGTTGCATCACCATCAAGTCAACGTGAGCAGGCTCTGGTGCCCTCTGGCCTGGGGAGGGGAGGGGCTCGCCTGGTGCCCTATGGGGACATACAGTGCCATCACTTTCCTGAGAGGCTTTTGGGGAGGAGCCAGCACTCTGGACCTGGAGCTTTGATCTTTTGAGAACGAGGTTCGATTTAGCGAGTCAGGAAGCTCCGTGGCCAGTGGTAGAGGCACAGTGATGGCTGGCATTGGGCCCTGGAGAGCAGAGGGCTCTTAACCCAGTGATTCCTCCGTCCCGGGGTGAAGGAGCTTTAGCCATCTCTGGAGGCATCTGGGAGGGTGCTACTGGCATCTGAAGATGCTCCTAAACCTGTTATTGGTGGCCCCTGATCCTAGACGTCAGTGGGGTGAGAACCCAAAGCAAAGTAGGTGACATTGCCAGTTCTCTTTACTTGGGAATTTGTGAGTTTCTCCCATCATCTGCTCTGAGACATTTCATCTGGGGCTGGAGGGCGAGGAATGGTGGTCTTGGGGGTTCCTGATCACGTTGCTATTTAGAATTCACTGTGTTGAGTCTGAGGGATCCAGATAGGGAGCTGGACTGGTGGGCTCTGAGGAGCTGGCCTTTGCAGCTGATACTGGGAGGTGGGCAGAGGCCCCTGGTTGGGATGGCTCTTGCGTGGGAAGTCTGTCTCTAGGGATGAGTAATGCAGGGGGCGGAGATGGTGCAGTGTCCACCCGGGGCTGTGGGCCTGTCTCTTAGCTGCATCACAGCCTTGCTGAGGGATTAAAGGCATCTGTCCTGACCGCCCTTGGACAGGAATCTCAGGTTGACCCGGGGGTGTGGGAGGACAGTCACAGCTAGGCTGAGGTGTGCCTTGCCTCCAGCCAGCTTGTGTCACTCTCTTCAGGGCCATCTCGCTCTTCTACGAGCTCTCTGAGAACGACTTGAACTTCATCAAGCAGAGCAAGGATGGCTCGGGTTTCCTTATCAACCTCATTGATTCCCCTGGGCACGTGGACTTCTCTTCGGAGGTGACAGCCGCCCTCCGTGTCACCGATGGTGCCTTGGTGGTAGTGGACTGTGTATCTGGTAAGCAGCAGGTTTCCTCACGCCTGGCCTGGGACCGGGGCTTGTCCTTCCCCTGGCCGTTGGAGACACCCGCCCCTTGCGGCCCGCAGGTGTGTGCGTGCAGACGGAGACGGTGCTGAGGCAGGCCATCGCCGAGCGCATCAGGCCCGTGCTCATGATGAACAAGATGGACCGGGCTCTGCTCGAGCTGCAGCTGGAGCCCGAGGAGCTCTACCAGACCTTCCAGCGCATCGTGGAGAACGTCAACGTCATCATCTCCACCTACGGGGAGGGCGAGAGCGGCCCCATGGGCAACATCATGGTAGGTCGCCTGCCATCGGGGCTCGGCTCACTCTGCACGCGCCTATCTCCCTGCTGCGCTCCCCACAGGCTGGAGGACAGGCTGTGCCCATGTCCCCCTGGGGGCTGCCCCAGGGAGCCACTGTTGTGAGTCCGGTTCCCTGGGGGTTCTTGGGAGATATGGAAGTGGGTTTTCCAGGAACTTTGGGGTGACGGGGGCTGGAAGTTTTTGGAGCCGACTTCTTGCAGCAGTTGACATTGAGGAGGCCGTTGGGTAGGGGGGTGTCCTGCTTGCTGACACAGGCTCACGGGTTGTACGCTTGGGTTTTCCACACATTCTCTGCCTTGCCAATGAAGGGGATGGAGGCAGAGGTGGGCACCCTGTGTGTGATGACTAAACTTTCTTCACTTTGACCTGATGGCTATTGAAGAAATCTGTTGTCTGAGGCACATGGTGTGTAGGGATGTGGCGGCTGTGGTTTTTGTCTCTCTGTCCCCACTCACAACTTTTTCTTGCTTTCAGATCGACCCTGTCCTCGGGACTGTAGGCTTTGGGTCTGGTCTCCATGGTTGGGCCTTCACCTTGAAGCAGTTCGCAGAGATGTATGTGGCCAAGTTTGCCGCCAAGGGCGAGGGCCAGCTGGGGCCTGCTGAGCGGGCCAAGAAAGTAGAGGACATGATGAAGAAGCTGTGGGGCGACCGGTGAGTTCCATGGGCGGACAGCAGATCATTTTACAACGAACCCACAGAGTGGGTGGGGACCCGCTGGTGGCGATGTGGCTCCAGACTACATAGTATCTGTGGGGTCCTGCCCAGCCTTGTTTTGATGACCCACCTGGGTCTCCCCAACCCCTCTAACCTAGTTGGATCGGCCCTGTCTGCCAGGTACTTTGATCCAGCCAATGGCAAGTTCAGCAAGTCTGCCACCAGCCCTGATGGCAAGAAGCTGCCGCGTACATTCTGCCAGCTAATTCTGGACCCCATCTTCAAGGTGAGCTGTGCGTGTGCTTGGGGGATGTGCGTCCTTTAGTCTGGGTGGTCTTCGAAGATCTGCCTGACCTGCTGGGGTCTGCGGCAAGGTGCAGTGGGTCTGGGCCAAGGTCAAGTTCAGGGCGGCTGCCGGGAGGAGAGTTCAGTCCCCAGAGTTCCACTCTGATAAGCTGGGGCCACACAATGGGGGCGATCGGCTGCCTGGCTAGGGGTTAGGGAACATGAGTGAGTAGGCGCGGGCTCTGCCAGCTGGTGAGTCTTAAGTGCTTGTGAATTAAAACATTTACGGTCCGTAAGTCACAATGGGTTTTGTACAATCTCCCGGGGGTTTCCCCGAGGTGGGCTCAGTTGGTGGCAAGTCCTCTGTGGTAAGGGGAGCATCTTCACAGCTTTGCTTAGTCGTCCTTAGTTGGCTCAGCAGGCAGCAGCTACAGGCTTCCCAGTTCATTCCAAACGCACTTTGCCATGTCCCCACTTTAGGTATTTGATGCGATCATGCATTTCAAGAAAGAGGAGACAGCAAAACTGATTGAAAAGCTGGACATCAAGTTGGACAGTGAAGATAAGGACAAAGAAGGCAAGCCGCTTTTGAAGGTGGGTTCGGAGGGACCATCCCTCAGGTCCATGTGAGGGCTCCGTGCAGCGGTGGGCCCCAGCTCTGCCGTTGCAAGCTTTGTAGGCCACAGCGTGGTTGTCAGGAGACTGCAGATATTCACGCCTCTGGAAGGGGCTGTGCATCTGAGTCACCTCGACAAGCATGTGACACTAAAGGTTGTGGCGGTCCCCGAGACTTCCCTGTCCTGACCTTCACGGCCCCTCCTACAGGCTGTGATGCGCCGCTGGCTGCCCGCTGGGGACGCCCTGCTCCAGATGATCACCATCCACCTGCCCTCGCCCGTGACGGCCCAGAAGTACCGCTGCGAGCTCCTGTACGAGGGGCCCCCTGATGATGAGGCAGCCATGGGTACGTGGGGCACGTCTTGGTGCTGGGTGGGGGCCCCCAGAGCGGCTAGTGGCTGTGGGAGGAAGGCTGTTCATTGTTTAGCAGGACTCCAGAAGGCCAAGCTACAGGGGAATCACACTTTTTCCTTGGGGGTTTTTCTCTTGCCCCCTAGGCATTAAAAGCTGTGACCC